GAAAAGAATAAAAAGAAAAAAAAACTCCAAAGGTTTGAAAAAGGAAATAGAAAATCTAAGAGAACTAATAAATCTCTAAATCCAAATCAGATCTCTATCAATACATCTAAGGATATATATTATTCCTATAGATAGATTAAATACTATTCAAATAACCCTCGATATAAAAATCTTCAAAAAAATTAATGGAAATTGATACTAATAATAAAAACAATCAAGAACCAGCATCGAAACGGTCAAAAAACTGATTGAATCAGTAGAAAAAGAATTCTCTACTGATTCAAATCAGGGAAGAATGATAGCTCAATACCGAATTAGAACCGGGCAAGATTCCAAATAATGTCTTATTATTGAAACAATCAATAATCTCTCTAATATCAATATCATTAATAAAGATTTTGTAACAAAATATTAATTGATATCTATCGAGAAAAGCAATATATATCTTATTAGATTTAATAGTGAAAAGGTATTGATATAAGATTATTATCAATTTGAGATTGAAGTATTCGATTCGTTTAAAATTACAAAAGTAATGGAAATTGAAGTCTATTGTTATATAAATGACAGATATAAGCTAATCCTGGGATTGGCTTTTTTAAGATAGTAATGCACTAGTATATATAATTAGTTTAAAGTTATCTGAGTAGATATAAATACAAATTGAATAGATTATATTAATATATTAATATCGGAAAATTTCAGAAAAGATATTAAAGAAGATCTAGAACAAAATCTTTATATTCTATTTGCATATATTCCAGAGGATTCGAAAGCTTGTATTCAAAAAGCAGTATTGATTAAAGAATACAATTGCTTAAGGAATTAGAAGGTTTATAAATATTCTATAGAATTATATATCAATATAATGAAAACCAAGAAAGAAATAAGAATTCCAATGAAATATTAGGATTATTAGGATATCTGGGATAAAAAGTAAGCTACTAAATTACCAGTTTTAGGCAGGGTTATTTATACTATTGAGACTATTAGTGATTCTTTCTTTCTATTTATTTATAGATTATCAGAATTATAATTATCTACTTTACAAGAATATTTAATCAAGGCTCTGGAGAAAGGCTGGATACAACTCTTTAATAACCCAATGGAAGTTCCTATTTTATTTGTTTTTAAAGAAAGAAGGGGAATTAAGAATATGTATCGATTATTAGGGTTTGAATTCTGTAACTATAAAGGATCGACACCTTTTATCCCTAATTGATAAAACCCTGGATTGCTTATAAAAGCTAAAATATTTACCTGATTTGATACAAAAGATGTATATAGACATATCTGGATTAGATCTGGAAATGAATAAAAGATTGTTTTTTGTACAAAATATAGATTTTTCGAATACTATATTATACCTTTTGGATTAATTAATATTCTAATAATGTTTCAGTTATATATCAATAAAGTTTTAGTTAGATTTTTGGATAACTTTGTAGTAATTTATTTAAATAATATTTTAATATATTTTAGGAATCCTGAAGAATATACAGAATATATCCGAAAAGTATTAAAAAGATTTTGGTAGTATAAACTCTTTCTGAATCTATTCAAGTGTGAATTCAGAACTATTAAAATCAAGTTTCTAGGATTTATTGTTTCTACTCACAAATTAATTCCAGATCCGAAACGAACCAATACTATTGTTAAATAGTCTGAGCCTAAATCTTTTCAAGAAATATAACAATTCTTAAGATTCGCAAATTTCTACTGAAGGTGTCACGGGTTCACCACCCTTACCACCCTTACCATCCTTACCATCCTTATCATCCTTACCATCCTTACTATCCGTTTCTAGCTAATTCGGATAGATACCTTAGGCATCTATCCATTATATAGTCGGCGTCGCTCCACGCGCCTTCTTTTCTCCTTATCGAATATTATATATCATACCTAGTACCCACCAGAACCCGTACCAGCCCCGTGATAGAAGGTTTATTTTCCAGTATTCCAAGGTAACCTTAGACTTGACAAATATACTAATAAAAATGAAGAATAATAAAAAAACAGGATCATATCAAATAACAGAACAAACCTGGAAAAGTTTTAATAAATTTAAAAAAAGATTCTTGAAGGTATTTATATTAATTCACTTTGATTTTCGAAAACTTATTTGGATAAAAACTAATGTTTCAGGATTAGCTTTAGAGAGAGTTTTATTATAATAACAAAATAAGATTAAAAATGAAAGACAGATATATTAGTATTAGATAACATTTTGGTTCTGAAAGTTATAATTGGTTAAATACCGATATACTACTTATAACCAGGAATTATTGGCTATAATAAAATATTTTAAAGAATGGCGAAGGTATTTAGAAAAAGTCCAATATATTATCGAAATTATTACAGATTATAATAATCTAAAGTATTTCATAAAAGTTTAATATTTAAGCTAAAGATAAGTGAAATAAACTATATATTTGTTAGAATACGATTTTAATATAATATATTGGAAAAGAGTTATTAATTCTATGAATAGATTTAGTAAAAGACCAGATTATATAGTATATAATAAATATAAAGATATTATCTAATTACCTACTTTCCAAAGAAAAATAGAAAGGACTCTAATAATAAATTTATTGAAAGTTATAGAAAGGAATCTAAATATCCAATTGAAT